TTCCTACGTGGCTGTTAAAGGAAAATGTTGGTGCTGAAGACAAGGCAGTGGATGGGGGAGCATATTACATCCTGTAATCATTATTTTGGTGGGTGTTGATGTGCAGGAAGAACTGGCTAGAGAATCAGAGCTGGCTTACTTGTTTTGAAGACCAGTGGAAAAGGAAGGTGGAGGGTCAGGTGTCAGCCGGCATGAGAACATCTGCCCTCAAGATAAGATTGGAGTCTTCTTGCTCCAGATGAGGAATATCATCCTCACCGTATGATAGGGAACTGAATGTCCAGCTGTGGACAGCTCCTGGATGAGGCCCCAGGCTAAGTGCTGGCTCAGAGTAGGCTGAAAAAGAAGGTCATGGCAGCGTGGGATGGAGTGGGAGGAAGAGGCTAATGTGGCCTGAAACGTTGCATGTGGACAGGTGGATCATATTGACAGGGGACTCCTCTTTGGATAGCTAAACAATCATCTAAACAGTCCTCTAAAGTTATAGAGGAACAACTTCCTGTAGCTTGCATGCACACTGGAAGTGATGTAATATATACACATAGGATTAGGCTTACTGCTACATATACAGTACCTAAATGCCTAAATGGTACTTAAATGCCAGATTTCAAGATAGCCCAAGGTCTGGGATCCATGGATTTGTCAACATTCGTGTTCAGCTGTGGGCTGCATTTCACTGCTTTCAGCGTCATATTGTACCCAAGTTGACACAAGATAGCCTACATGGCGATGTATCACAATGTGACTCATTATGTGGAGCCCACCTAGTGTGGGAACTCTCTCATTCACACTTACATCAATGCTGCTCTATAGTACCATTATCCACTGAGTCAGAAATAGTCTTGTCATGAAAGCAGGTTTTGTGACTTGGACACAATCATTTATAATGTTTTCCTAAATCTAAAAAAGTAGTTTTTGCGCCTAAACCTAAGGTAGTGTTTCTTTGTGCTAAGCCTTCTGCTTACACAAGCTTTATTTAGTGCATATTTATTGTTGCTACCTCGACCGCAGAGCACTGTGCGTCCAGAAAAGATGCGAGATGGGGTACCTTCAGGATCGTATTTTGAACTGGAGGGCCACTCACAATACATTAGAGTATTTAGAGTTAAGAGTTAGGAGTGAGAACTCGTTGATGTGATGGCCCAACACCTCCCATCTGTTGCTTCTGTCTGATTGTGCTGATTGTGAAACAAGTATTGAACATTTCCAAACTTAAATATTTTCCATCCATCCAGTATTGATGCTTGGTTGTCATGATAACACTAGTCAGAGAGGCATCTTGTTTTCGTCCCTCATCATCATCTGTCCTTGTACCTCCCGTTTCAGCAGAGGTTAATGGTGTTAGCCATGCACAGCTGCGAGAGGCCCTGATCTCGTTGTTGCTAGATGAGTGCTGCTCAGTTTTGAGGCCTGATGACTGGGAAATCTGGGAATCTGTTGGAAGCTGCAGTGAAGTCTGACTTATGATGATTGGAGTTAATACCGTGGCGAGACAATTGGCCCACCTGCTAGCATCTCACCGCTGTAGCCCACTTGGTGAGGAGTCTGGGCTTCCCTCCACCAGCCTGGCTGCACGGCTCGATGCACATGAAGAATTTAACATGGCCTTCTGATGTTGACCTAATGTCCCTTAAAGCAGAATTTGTGGCCTTGAATGCATAGTTCACTGTGGAAATAGATTTATAAGGAGCGTCACTCCACTAATGTGGGGCAGCTGTCAGTAGCTCCTGAGTGAGCTTTGAGACGCTCATTGCAGCAGATTTCTAACTGTCTAGACATACATATGCACCAAAACAAAATAAAACACAACATGACAAATATTACAGTGAATTATCTTGGAAATGAGGTGCACATGAATAGCTGAATGGGCCAGTAGACAGGCTTTAGTGCAGGCAATTACCAAATCCGTTCTAAATTTTAACAGACTTTATTCTTTTCATCAACATCATTAAAACCCTGATTTACAATGGACAGCAGGAAAGGATGATCTCTAATGCCATTAGTGAAGGCAACAGCTTCGCTTTTGATAGCTCCTGCTTTGAAAAATGGACAGAACTCATCCTAATGGGATGTTGGTGTTTTCATCAACAGAGATTTATTTTTACACACTCAAATGTACAAAGCTGTTGTTGTTGCATTCGGCGTTAGTTCTTCACACAGTTTCAAACAGATTATTTGATGAAGGATTTACCTAAAGAACTCATACTTACACATACTCATACATGTCATGATCCAGGATAGTTCTGTGTTAGTGAGCCAGAGAGCCAGAGAGCCAGAAAACCAAGCCTGTAATGTCATCTAAACAGATTGAATGATTTTGGCTGGTATTCATTCATCAACCAGAAAAGGCGGCTTTCCCTTGGGTGCTAAGTCATCTTTACCATTCGTGACAAGTTACTTTCTGTGAATCAGCAACGCAGTTAAAATGTTGTTAATGCAAATTTGATATTTAGTTCTTTGATTGCTGCCTGGAGGAAAGAGTTCTGCAGACACTGACTGGGTTTTGCTTGGTCACAAGGGAAGGCATGATGATACTGGATCAACTGTTTAAATTCACCAAATCAAATAAAATCAGTGAAGATTTTATACCTTTTAAATCTTTGAACTCTAGATATGTAAAGAAAGGATACATTTATCTCGTCAAATGAACAAATTCACTGTCACATCTCCTTTAAAAAGTAAATCACAACGGTAACAGTCTCTTTTTCACATGATAATCCTTTTGGCCTTTTGGAGAAGAAATTTTTATTCAGGAAAGGCCACAACTGTTTTCTCTTCGATCAATTAGATCAGCGCTGGTCAGCCAGAAAACCAGGACGTGTGCTGGGCTGCGCACACACACACACACACACACACACACACACACACACACACTTGTTCCACTATCCCTGTGGGGACATCTCATTAACATAATGTATTCTCTAGCCCCTTACTATCCCAACTACATGCCTAACCCTAACCCCAACTTAAACCTGGTTGAAACCTGAACCCTAACACCACGTCAAAAAGCAGTATCTACCCATATAGCTGTCTCTTCATTCTGGTTGAAGTCCCTATCGAGATAGAAAGACATTCACACGCACAACTTAATTGAAGAATCATTGTCAATCAGTTATTTAACTTGACAAATGTCTCAATGCCTGCATAAAGATTAGCACACACACGTGCACACACAAATCAACTTTTACTCCTACCAGACCATTAACCAAGAGAGTGGCTCCTTTGGCTCCTTAATGGAAATTGCCATTTCAAAGCCTTCAAAGAGAGATGTTAACCTTGTGCGATACTTGGGGCATTAAAAATGGATCAAAGCAGCGGAGCTTTGATGTAGACAGCAGATCTTATTTGGATTGTGGCAGAAGACCAGAGCACTGGGCTGACTCCCTAGCACCCTCTGCTGGGAGAATTTGGCAAATAATTCATGGTCATAAGTTGAGATGTCGTGTTTTGCAGTTTTTTGTATTGCAATTGTTTTAAACCCTTGCTACACCCTAAATTCCCACTTGTTGAGACAATATGTGTGAGGATAAAGACAGAAGAGATACAAAAGAGAGGCAACAAATAATAATTCCTTTTTCTTTTCAGTCATCTTTTTTTTGGTGTGTGGACAGTCTGTGGATATCATGTCTGGAAAGAGCAGAGAGGGGGGTAGGCACCTCTGGGTGGCTGATGATGAGGGGTGTGGGTGAACTCTTGACCCTCAGCAGGCTGTCTGAAAATGTGGCTCCCCTCGTATTAAAGTCTCCCCCACAGAGCTCAGCTTAGGCCTGGGAATGAACACGTTGTCCAAAGAGATAGATTACTTTGGAGGGAAGCAAGATCACCTACCTGTGTGTGCGCGCCTGTGAGTCAGTGTGTATTTGAGTGTGTGTTCAAGTTGTGTAAGCTTGAAGGCTGAAAACAGGGAGAGACAAAAAGACACAAGGTTCAAGTTACTTTATTTGTACCCGTTGGTAGATTTGGAAAGAGCCATTTTACTGTTTGTATGTGCTAGTTTCTATCTGACACAAAAGGCGATTGTGTGTGCATTCATGCAATTCCTCTGTGGATGCAGCCACTGTGTGCAAGCCCACCAGTGTGTATGCTTGTGCACACCCTTGTGTAAAGCACAAAGGGTGAGGGGGGGGGGGGGGGACTGGCAGAGATGGAGACACAGATAAAGTGAAAAAAAGACATTAATAATTGATGATAGACACCGCCTTGCATCTGCCGCCTGCTGCTGTTGAGTTTGCTCAACATAGATATTGATGCAAGGTCTTGCTAAAACACAGCATAACCACACCTCTATTCTGACCTCATTATCACATTATAAGGTACATGCTATGAAATAGATGCAAATGTTTCAGATCATTTGCCAGATCTGCTGAGTGTTGATTTTTGTTTTTTGCCATTTTACTTACCAGAGGATGAAAAAAGGAAACCTATTCCTAGTTGTCATGAAAGTGAATCAGGGAGAAAAAGGTTCCAAATGGGATTTTTAATGAATTGAACATTGGTTTGTTAGTGTGGAACGCATGTGAAGCTTGTCCTGCTTATTTCTGCACTGGTTGCGCATATCGGTCAAAAACAAGTGGGTTAGGCTATTGGAGAAACTGAAGTGTGATTGACTTTAATGTATTTAAGTTTAGCTCTCTCCCTCCCGCAGCAGGCCTGTTTTCTCTCAGTGTGCCTCATTAAATCTTTGTGGAAATTCTCCAACTCTTGTGGAAGAGACTTTCTTTTGATTAGACTATAAACAAATGGAGGAGTTAGTTGACATCTCCCAAGACTGTGGCCCTCTTTTGTTTTGCTGCTGCGCTGTTGCTGCCCCCCTCCCCATTGTGACAGGACTCGAGTACTATTCCCCAAAGCCTTTATTCTCGCTTGTTTTCTTTTTTTTTCTTTCCCATTCCCTCACCCAACTCCAACCCCTCCTCCCCTCTGCCTTTGTTAAAGACGGCCCCTCAACCACTCCCCCACCTCTCTCTCTCTCTCGCACTGTCTCTCTCGCTCTCTCGTTATACGTTCATTCGTTCCGCTGGCTGAGGGCTGAGAGAGGAGCGCTCAAGAGGAGAGTGTTTGGAAGACCAGTGACACGCTGCTGCTGTTTTCTCCAAAAGAACCCCCCCCCGAAGTGTCAGGAGTCGGCTTTTCTTTTTGCCAGCACTCCTCCTCATTCCCGTTTACTTCACCTCTCTCTCTGTATTGCCGTGTCCGTCCAATGACTTCTCTCATTGACTCACTCCTCCCTCCTTCGGCTGGCTGACTGAGTGCACTGACACTGGGACCACTACCTGCTGCCTGGGGATCAAGCGTGACATGAATACCCGGAGCTTAATTTGTTGTTTTGGCTCAAAGTGAATGTTGGAACCCCACGGAAGAGAAGCTGGTGCATAAATCCTTGCGGCCAGGACAGTGGAAGCTCCTCTGGACAAAGACCAATGTAAATGGGAATGGATGCTTGAGGAAGTGTCTAAAAGAGAAATGAGCAACCAGAGAATTAAAGAAAAGACTGGACAAGTTCTTTAATGAAAGGCAAATACAGAAGAAGCGAAATCAACCCCAGTCTGGACACAATGACAACCTTTTCCTCTCATTATTTAGTTAGGATTCTCTGTCAGCGTGCTGAAACAAGGGAAGAAAGCCCAGCAAATCTCCGCCTCCAGCTTCTTGGTTGATTTCTGATCACACAGGTTTTTCTCTTTTTCTTTCCATTATTCATTTAGAGTGTCTCTGTGTTTTGCTGCTCATGCGTAGCTGCTTGGGGGAGAAGCCGGCTCTGCACTGACAGATCGAGTGGGGATTGCGATCGTTCTCCTCTCCAACTTTTTCCCCCGCTCCACCACTTCTTCTGACCTGCATTCAGCCAAAACGCACCAGCAGGATGGGGAACAGTCGCTTACCCACTCCATGAGACTGGCCGGGAATAAATGTTATTGAACCGAGGAGGAGTGGCAGGAACACAGGAGAGAAGGGGAGGAAAAACAAACCATCTCCGTGAAGCAGGGAGCATATGGTTTAGCGAGAGGCAGCCAGCTGCTTTCCAGCCATCCTGCTAATCACGCTACAGCAAATACAAGTTGCTCCGGTGACGGTGTCAGGTTTGGACGGATCTTATGTGCTGTGGTTGTATATCTCTTCACCGTGACAGAAGGTCCCAGACCATAAGCAAAGGAGTCAATCCAGTGGATACAAAGAAGCAGTTGTGTTGAGTTAGAGGGACGCTGGGCATATCATTGCTCGGGATAGCAACTGACCCTTGTTGCCCAACAGGCCACAGCCACAAGGAGGCTGGAAAACATGCTCGACAGTCACCTATTAGGAAAATACTTGTGACACATGTTGTTGGTGAGCACCAGACCTTGGCTTAGTTTGTAAAGGCTTTTGACAAGGAAAGGCGGGGAAACGGTCTTGGAGTCTGCACCCCCAGACCCCTTTCACGTCCATTTAATTACCAGTCAGGGTCACTGGGAGGAAAGCCGAGGGTTCCTTTTGTGGATTTACTGTGTGGCAACTTGGAAGTTTTCTGTGTGGCTATTTGACAATTCAACACCCACACCTTTACGCACACATTTCTGGCTTAGGTGCCTCTCACACACATACATGCCAAAAGCGCACTGACACACATTTACACACATAATTACACAAAATTACCACACACGTTTGCACTGTAAGTATAAACCACAACACACACACACACATACTCGCACATTGAAAGTCCATTAGTTTGTCTTTTTTCTAGCAGGCATGGAGGTCACGTGGACAGGTGGGGGGCTGTAGAAGTCCAATATCCCTGTCCCCCTGTCTGTCCTCTTTCTCCAAAATTCTCAAAAAATGTGTTGCTTGGAAACCACTGAAAGCTTGCTGCTGCGATTTACCGACAGAAACAGTCACCGGGTCCCCGCCACAGTGCACAGCTGGAACCGCAGCTGAAACATCGACCATTACGCATCTTTTTTGCTTTTTATTTTATCTTCATCTTCGTCCTCTGCCTTTACCCCGCCGCCATCATTTTTTCCAACGGGTCTTTAGGCACCCCTCGTCGCCCTCCTCGGCCCGTCATCTCCTCCACCCCGGAGGGGAGGGGGTCATTGGAGTGGAGCATGAGCGGGTGCCACTATCCCTCGCCACCGCCACTGGAGCAGGAACGCAGGTACCAACACAAGGTGTCCCTGGTGGTACGCTACTTCATGATCCCCTGCAACATCTGTCTGATCCTGCTGGCCACATCTACACTGGGCTTCGCCGTGCTCCTGTTCCTCAACAACTGTACGTTCAAAAGAAACATAACTTTACTGTCTGCAGTGCAGTCTACTTTATTCTCTTTACTGCGCTTTCTAAATGTATGAGTCAAAGTTTGGTAATAGAATGTTTGCCATAAACCCTAATTTAAAGTATTTATACAGTCTTTGAAACTGAATTTAGCTAAAAAGAAATTATTTTGCATTTTACATAGTTTTTACATTTCATGTCCTTGTTGAAACAACTCCCGCCCCCCCAAAAAAGCTCACTTTTGTCTCAGAACAGCCTTATCTACAGTTGAAGTAAGGACATCAGGACAGCTAAAGTCACAGCCCCCCTTTTCTTGATTCTGTGTCTGTAGGCACGATAAATTGCTTCATATCTCCTTTCCAAATACTTGGCATTTACTTTGAACTGCTGGATGAAGTATTAAATGGCGATTAAATGCCTTTGGAGGATGAAAATGTTTCTTTTGGCCTGGAAAGCCCCAACCCCTCCCGTCATCTGCTCATACGGCATTATCATTTTCCCACTGTATGTTGAAAGTACACTGGCTCATAAAGAGGCGGAGGCATAATGTTTGTGTGCTTTAGTTACAGGTGGCAGTTTTGATGGTAGGCACCACAGTAGTTTCTTGGGTTAAAGATTTTTTTGAACGCAGTTCTAACAGGAGAGGTTATTGCTTTAGTTTGTCTTCTGTTAACCCCCATACTGGACATCACTTGAAATGTATCAATACTGGTGCCATTCATTTCAAATGGTAAAAGGTATTGAAATGTGATACACAGCTCTGTCAATGACAGGGTTAGCCTTTAAGGGCCAATAGCTTGCCTTCACCACATGACTGAAATAGACATTTACCAGTCACCTGTGCATAATATGTTACCTTTCTTTTTACATCACCAGCAGCACACCTGTGTTAACAATTACTTATTTCATTTTGTAAAGGTGAAATTCTTCTCAACTCTCCAAAGTGGCCTAATATTGAAGACTTGTGTCACATAATAGCACATTATAATACGTAAATAAATAAGTTAAATAAGCACAGTCTTAACAGTAATTTTGATGCTGCCAAATTCTGGTTGAAGTGGTATTTGAGCAACACTTTGAGGGGACAGGCTCTGGTCTTTGTCTCCGGGCATGGTTGTTGTTCCATGTCAGCCCCTTTCCTCTGACTTTCTCTTACTCTGTTATCAGACTGCTGACTTTTCAGGCAAGTACAAGGCAAAGTCCCTGTAGCCCAGAGGATGCCACTGCATTAGATGCCCCTCTTTGCATTTGTGAAAGAGTGTCTACTTCTTTCCTAGGTTTGTGTCTTCCTGTCATCTTTGTCAGTCTTCCCTTCTCATTGTAATTGGTGGATGTGGGTGACCAGGAGGAGGAGTGGTTCATTTGTAACCTTGCTGTGTTACCGACTCAATTTCAGCCAGACAGATTCTATTAGATTTAATTCAAACTCAGTTAAAGGTGGCCAATCTTCACCTCTAAGATGACGGAATGAAAAGAAATGTGTGCTGGAGAAATTGATGAAGTGAAAGGGGCTCTATTATGCTGCCAAGAGCCCTTGCCATGTGGCCACAAGGACAGCTGGAAAGGATAGTGATAGTGCTTGTAGTGATGATGTGTGTATGTGTGTGTGGTGGGCGGAGGGGTGTTAGAGGAGTCCAGCAAACTCAAATGTGCAGATTTTTATTTCTTCCATATCATACTCTCACACAGGCACAGAGTTTGTAGGCCCCCCAAAACCCTACTGCCTGCCAGTAGAGCCCACACGCAGACACACTCCCTTTATCATTGTGTACGACTACACATCCACAACAACACCGAAGGGGACGGTGACACAATATAAAGATACATACGCACGCTCCTTTCCCTGCACGTGGCTAAATGTCACAGTCAGACACATTGATTTTCTGAAGATATAGGGTGAATGATGGCCATGTCGTGACATTCACACATGCATGAATTCATGCAGGCTTTGCCAGCTGCAAAGAGAGATGGGAAAGGCTGATATGTTTATGGAAAGACCTTATCTTGTCCTTTCATTATGGAAATGTGAAGAAGTCGTTTAGCTTCGCCTGGCATCTCGGCTCACTTTGTACGCCACCTTTTTTTGTCAGGCTCTTTCTGATTCACCTTGTGCAACAATACGTCAATATCTGTATATGATTGTTTGTGTGTTCAGACATGCTTTATTATAGGAAGTGCAGCCTGTGTGGATGTCTGTTTTTGTTTGTGCTCATGTATGCGCCTTTACACTCTCAGCAGGGACTTCTATATTTTCCTCATGCCAATTTATGTTCCCCTAGTTTTAGATGTTTTCTTGCAATCCCCCCCAGATGGAAATCAGTTACCGCCATGACTGACTGGGAAACAGCTTCAGCAGACACTTCATTATTCACCTCTAGCACGAGCCTATCCCTTCTCCTCATTTTTTTCTCTCTCACACACACTGTCTCACTCTCTCTCTCTCTCTCTCTCTCTCCCCTGAAGCTCTGACTGTTGACAAGCAATTTTAAGTCAGCCTAAATTTAAAACTCAGCTGTGTCTTGGGACGCCGACGGGTATCGCAGAAGTCCTGAGAAAGGCTTCGGCGAAGTGGTTGATGAGGTCCCGGAAAAATGTGTTAGCTGGGTAATTGATGTGATATGTTTTATCTTCCTCATTATCCCTCACAGTGCAGAGACAACGGAGAGATGGGTGGCTGCACATGATTTCTGAATGTGCGTGTTGGTGTGTTTGGTCGGTGCAGGCAGCTCTGACAACTCACCGGGGCTCTGCTTAGTGAGTCAGACAGTTGAGTTGCCTGCAAGAGAGCAGATGGTGGTTTGGTTGGGTTGTGCTTGGTACTCCAGTGCCTGGGTAAACTGTGACCAATGCATCATGATGGCCTTCGAAGAACACACCATGTTTTTTAGAGCCTGTCCATTTGTTCCCTGGTAAATGATGGGAATGCAGAGACACCAAAATCATCCCTGTCGACCACTATTTGTGCTTAATGATGATTATCTTTATGGTGATGGTGATTTATTGTGTGAGAAATAGGTGTAGTTAACACAAAATATGATTCTGCATAACCAATAATTGCCTTCTTCTCATGGCAAATACCGATCTGATAACGATAACTTCTCCACATTTTTGCAAGTTATAAAAAAGTTTTGTTGCTTTGATGGAGGGGATCACGTCTGCTGCTGGGACTGAGCTAATATCTCTAGTTATCTGTTCACCAAGAATAGTCAATATGTTTTCAAAAAGAGCCCACTCTTATGCACTTACAGATGCAAGTAACGCATAGTCTACTCAATAAGAAAAGGAAAGGAAAGTAAAATCAATATGGTCTGAGCTTATAGATCCTGCTACTGAGTCTTGCGGGACCCATAATGTAATGTTATGTTGTGAGAGACATGTCATGTCATTTCAATCGAATCGGATTTGACTTGATGAATAAAAAAAAAAAGAAGTTATTTAGTGATGGGCACCTAGACACCTAGGCCCGGGGCTGAAGACTGTACTGTTTATTATCATGCTGCAGCCTCTGCCTGCTCTGTGTATCCACTCCTGCACACACACACACACGCGGGCGCACAAAAGAGGTGGATGCAAATCTCGGCAGGTAGCCTACAAAATTTGTTCTGCCGAATTATGCATTCAGACTTTGCTGTGCTCATTGATCAAACACTGTTATCACCACAAATATTTACTGAATGTCAACGAATGCTACTTCTGCTAAGTGTATTAAAATATTAAAGACTCTAAACGTTCATAAAATATATACTTTGGAAACATTTATCACCATTGATGAACCCCACAAAGAATATTATAGCGTTTAAAAGCATTATTTGGAGGTGCATGCAATTCTCGGCAGGCAGGCAGAACTCGGCATAACACCGGCGTTTGAGCCGCATTCATAAACCTATGGACACTCATTTTCATTTCCCTGAGAAAATTCAGGGGAATCCAATCACACATTTACTGACTGCTTTTTCAGAGGTGTGTCAAGCAGGCCAGAGACTCTTTTGAATGTCCTTCAGAACTCTTCAAAGTAAAAGCTCTTAATAAACTCAACATGAAGCATTGCTGCGAAAGACATTCTCGCGCTTTTATTTTAGAGACCCAGTCATTTAAGAGGAAGTGATTGTGTGAGTAACTGTAGCTGTCATGACTGAGATCTATTTCAGCACCAGCCGTTATCAGTTTTTTTATTTTTTATTTTTCTGCTATCAAAGCAATCTGGCTGCTATTATTGCTGGCGGGCCAGTTCTGACCCCTGTTTTATTCAAGCACAGCTTACGTTAGCTTGGCATTAACCAAATGTACAAACCAGCTAAATAGGAAGCTGAGTCGCAATAGAGATGTCTTCTTCTGAAACAATGAAAAATATCCGAACCTTCAGTGACATGTTTGTTTGGCTCTAGCTGCCTGCACCCCATCTGCGTGGTTCTATCCAGGCGCAGCAACATGACAACAGCAGCTACACATGTTAAAGCATCATTTGATTCTTGTAAGCTAAATTAATTTTACTAGGCTATATGATTCCGAAAACGAATATATGCCGAATATCCGCCGATAATTTATCGGATTGATAATTATTGTGCATCATTTAGCCACCAAAAATGCCAACATTTTCTGGTTCCAGCTTCTCAAAAGTAAGAATTTGCTGCTTTTCTCTGCTTAATATTGTAAATTAAATATGTTTTGTTTTCAGACTGTTTGTCAGACAATATAAGCAATTTGAATACATCCCCTAAGCTTCTGGGAAATTACCCTTTCACCATTTTTTGTAATTTACTAACCTAAACAGTAAATTTTAACATCAAAAGAAATCTTAGATTGATCACCAAAAAATAAATGTTAGTTGTAGCCCTAATTTTGGTTTTGTTCTGTTTTTATTTTGTCATGAACAGTATCCCATATTTCACTTCTAAACACTGCAAAAACAAACTATGTTCTCTTCATCCACCTCAATTACATATATTGTTATTGATCCATTTTCATTGCTTGGCAAAAATTGTATTCATTTTCTAGTGTCAAAGTGTCAAAACTGCAAAGGACTCAGGTTACATGAGATTCCCCCACATCCACCCCTCCATACATCACTTGAGAGTACAGGTCTTGTTTTATGGATCCTACAGACCGACAAACCTTATGTCATCGTCTGCTGGGTGTTGACCTGGAGAGAGGCATGATGTCATTTGATATATTATGGGGAGGAAAAATGTATTTATTCTCTATATGGTTGCTGGGGGGGTGGGGTGGGGACTGTGTAAGTTTTCACTGTACGTCATCACTGTTGTGAAATTTCAAATCTTATCACACACTTTTCAACTCAAAACAAACACATATCCCTTTCCATGTGTTCTCAATTCTCATGTGCACTTAGAATAGCAAATGTCATGCGGTGTGGTTTGGGATAAGAAGCCTGTAGAAACAATGAATGACCAAACAATGATGGCATCGCTATAACTGTACTCCAGTCGATTAGCTCAGCTGGGATCCTGCAGGGCCCAGTAACTGCATTATAATGTGTTAGACAGAAAAGCCAAGCCTGTAGACAGAATGTGTCTTTTTTGTAGCAACTCAATTACTTGGCCTTTACCCCTGGGAAGTCTCTGAATCTCCCCAAAACTAAAAACCTATTTCTCTCTCTTTCTCTTTTATCTCTTTCAGACAAACCTCCTCACTTCACACCGGCTCAGCCTCCTGATGGTAAGTCCTCTGCGGTTTCCCTCCCGCTCGGCTTTGTTGACCACTGGTGTTTTGGGGCTGTACCTGCGAATAATGACTTTGGACAGCAGATCCCTGCCTTTGAAGTGGGCAGCCGTCTGTGCACTGTGCCAGATTTGGCTGCTCCGCTTTTTGTTTCTACACTGTTGGTATGGAAGGCACGTGGCCAGGTCTGCTCTGTGCTTTTTGATGTGAGGGGATCTTTTGATGACTTGATTTGATCTGCTCTGCATGGCCAGTTGGGCTGACGTTTAATACCTGTTACCACAGTAGCGTTCACATCCTTCTGATGGGGTCTAATAGTAAAACCCCACCCGCAACCTCTCCCCCTTTCATGGGGATTCCAGGTATTCTAGGGCCACAGTGCAGCACCAGCACCTCACCTTGTTATCCACATTTTTTGTCCCATCCCACGCATGTAAATCTTTGCAACGGGTGCTGCATTGCTTCAGTTGTTTTCTGGCCCAGTAACACGAGCTGTTAATTAAAAAAGCAACTATTTATTTCTAAAACGGTGGATCTCTGCAAGCTTTAATTGGAGGGAAACAGCTGGTTTTCAAGCTGCTATCATGAATATTTATCAGAGGCAGCACAGTGAGACAGTGTTTGATAGACTTTGTATTGTATTTTTTTACTGCACTGACAGACATCCAGGGATGGACTCCTACTAGTTCTGAATGTGTTGTATCATCCTGCTTGTGTGCAGGCTACAAAGCCAGAGGTTTAGAGGGAGAAAACATGTGGAGAACATGTTTTCTAATGATCCCAGCCGGCCAGCTGATACCAGGGACAAAAGGCTACAAAGGGGGCTTGCTGAATCCGTTTCTGATAATTGCTCAATCACTTGCCCCATAGGCCAGCTTGTTTGTAAAAGCGGTTTGCCAAAGATGTCAGCTAAAAAATGTATCAAATTAGAGGTGATTTATGATGAATGTGATTGTGTGGTGGAGTCGGGACAATAGGCTGTTCACTGTCAATGTGAAATGGCTGTGGCGTTTGGCTTCAAAAAATAATTGTGCTTGATTGGAGAATTTCTCAACTCGGCCTCACCTCACCACCTGAAGAGTGTGCCTCATATCACAAAATACTAGATATTCAATTGCAGCCCGCACTGTTTACAGCAGCTATTTGTTTTTGTTTTAATGACAGATAAAATTGGCTTGACAAATGATTATATCTCAGAGGGTTCTATTTGTCTGTTTTTGAAGCAAATATTGCTATAAAATTTGGCTTTCCACTGGGAAAATGAGAAACAGTATGCAGGCAGTGAAGCAGCCCATTTCTGTTTTCTTCCATTGAATTTTTCCCTACAAAAGAAATAACGCCCTGCTTATCAATTGAGCCACTCATTTCCCATGTATTAAAGTTTTTGCTGTCTGAGGGGCACAGTTTGTTTCTGCACTAGTCAACCGTTTAAAAGCTGCTGCTAGCCCTTAATTACATTTCCAATAGTTCTGTAGGCTTTCCATCAGCAGACTATGCTGTTTTAATATGCCAAGCAAAACAAAAGGCAAAGTCTCCAATCAGCGGGGTAAGCCTGTCCTGTGGGACGCAGTTTCTCCGGGTCATTTAACGCTGAGAGATTAGTGAGACAATTAGAGTTGGCCCAAATAAGACAGTAGGCCACTTTTTGGAGACGCATGGTTTTAGTAGTGGTGGAGGGGTGATTTAAAAGATGCTCTACACTAGCAGAGGGCTATTACAATATAGCGCTGCCTTTAGTCAAATCTGCTCCAAAGAGCACAGGGCTTGTTCTACTGAACTTGTCCTCAGTGCCAAGGACACTCTGCTCCCCGGTACTACATTACAGGAAATCATAGACAAGATAGCGAGGTAGGAGTCTGCATTTTTAAACAGCCTAATTTGTCTCTGAACTGCTGTTGATGAGACGTCCTTATTAACGGGAGGAGATTTTCAGAAAGTAAAGGAATTTGTTCTGCAAATTAGAGCGAGAGAATCTTGGGACTCGCTGGGGAAAAATGCAGGTTCGGCACAACATAAGCAAAGCTCTTAGATTATATTTATGGTGTGCGCCACCCGCAAATAGCTGACGAATCCTTCCCAATGAATGGCCTATAATCACCAGTCGAAAAAAGTGACAAAAGTCACAAAGCAGCCTTTAATTGGGCTCTTACTTTGAAAGCTCAAAGCAGCATTTGCTTGGCTTAGCCACACTCGTTATTGCCTGTCGTCTCCTGATAATAAAACAGTTGTTGCGTGTTTGGCCACAGGAAAAAAAGCTCTTAGAATTTGCAGTTTGAGGGATTAGGATTGGCTTTTGGAAAGGGGCTCGACTCTGCTTGATGGATGATGTTCTTGGACCCCAGTGTCCACATTCAGAGAAAACGTCTACTGGTTAGAGACATAGGGAGGATGTAGGAGTAATATTAAATATGGTCTCTTTTTATGAGAGATTTAGGAGGTATTATTCATTAATGCTAAATTTAGTTGCAGTTTAACAAGGAGAAAGAACAGATACATTTTTTGAAATATTTTTATTTTTTATTTTCTTTGAATCCAATTACAACCATAGTTGACTACACACTGGCCAAACAAGATCCAAAATAGGCCAGCGAAGAGGTGTTATGGAGAAACAGAGCCTCAGAAAGTTCAGAGGTCTTCTCTGACTGTACCCGTCTCCAGCAAACCTGCCTGGCAGGAGCCCATTCGCCGTGAATCCTTCAATTTCGCATTTGTCTCTGACAGTGTTCCCCAGAGGATGCGCCTTACTGACAGACAAAATAAACTCCTGGACTGAAATGTGATTTGTTCTAAGATGGTTGGATGCCTGAAAAAAATGCCAGTGGTCTCACTTGTGCTTTGAGAACGCTACCTCTTCCTAAAGAAGTGACATTACTCTTTGTCAGCTCTGGGAGAATACAGTAACTAAACGCTCCACACCCATAACCCTCTCAGATTGGGGGGGGGGGGGGGGGGGGGCACACACAAAGTTGTCCTGTAATTTATTCTGCCGGAGCCTTTCCCTGTGTTCTTGACAGTAAGCCTGACTCAGAGAGAGGCAGAATTAATTATGACTCCTCGGCCTATCTTAATTAAATCATTCCACATCATAGATTTCACACAACAGAGGCAAAATATCTACCTCATCTTTTAGCTGGGGCGGGTGTACTGGCTGAGAATGTCTCACATCAAGATATCAAAGGTACACTGTAAAGTTGCCTCTCCAGGATTACGATTTCACAGAAGAGTTGTTGCGTCCGACTTTTAACAGAGAGCTGCTCGTTAGTCCACTATTGCAGAGGCTGTTGTGGAAGAGTGGAGGGGGCAGTGGGCAGCCTTGACTTTATCAACAAAAAAGTTTGTTGCCCTTTCAAAGTACACAGGGCTTTCAAATTGCACAGCTGAACTCATCTTGGTCAGGGTAGCTTGTCTCTTTTCAGCCTCTTACGTCAGCATCTGAAGAGCTCAGTGAGTAGTGTTTTTTTCATAAACAAAGACAGACAAAGGAATTAACCAAGTGCCGTCAACCCCCACGTCTAACCATCCATCTTTGACGATATTCCCACTCAGGCTGGCCTCACCTTACCTGAACTTACCCTGTATCGATCTGCCAAGATAGGTTAGAAGCAGTAGTCCAAAGAGAGAAAAACTCAAATATTAGCCAGAAAGGAAAGAACTTAGTGGGCCGGAGCAGTAAAGTGCTGCACCTGTCATGAAGTAATTATTGACACAGTTAGCAATGCGGGTTTGCTTTGATATGTCCCCCAGCTGTGGAGTAACCCCCGCCGATTGCCGATGCAGGTTATTTCTCAGACCTTGTAAGGATCAGCACTTCTTTGATGTGGACGGAGAGCATGCTGAGCTATCTGTGGCTGTGATCTGGAAGCCAGGATCCCTGATAGTCATGTCTGATTTGTTGGCATTAGGCTCTGTTGTTTAGATACAGAGGTGTGATCTCTGATCTGGAGTATACAATACACATATCAGCTTCAGTTCAACTTTTGAACGTCCTCTTGTTCTAAATGTTATGGAGCGAGCCACAAATAGAATGCAAAGCGATTTAAGTACAGCTTTTAGTACATATTTCGCTCATGAGTATACCTCCACAGTGTTGAAAGCTTCCTGTGGTGGCAACTTTTTCTTTTGCCTTGTTAGTTGCACATTAGATTCATCCAAACTTTGTACCAGTTATTTCCTTCAGACAGTAAAATTTTCTATTTTACAGTTCCACAGTAAAATAGAAAATTAAACAAATGTTCAGTGTACTAAGACTAATAGAAGAATGACACTAGTGGGGTAAACAAAACCCAGTTGACAGCCATGCAAGCTAATTTATGGTTTCTAGCTGCTTATTGCAACCCTGATTGCTCAGCATTGCAGTGCAGAGGAATGGTTGAAAGCCCACCCCTTTCTTTACTCTTATATTGGAATCTCATATATTGGAAGTAGTTATAGTGCAGAATGGCCTAATGTTGCTTTAAATGATCTCACTATGTTCTTTGCATGTTGACTGCAACGGCACCAGTGAAAGGCCGCGTCGTTAATTTCTTTCTCATTACAGCAGCAAGTTATTTTAAATCGGGACTCAGTTGTTGTTCGTAAAGCTGTGATGGGCAGGCGCTAATTTAATTGTTGGTTGACGATGTCAGAAAATAACCACACTGGGACATGTAACCAGTGCAACGAATTTCATTGTCAGGTTGTTAATTAGAAGAAAATAAGTGGCTTGCCGTGTCAACGTGTTGCTGAACAATACTGTGCTGTGATATCCAGCTATTAGCGGAATCCTGCATCACAGTGTTTTCCTTACAAAGAAGTGGAAGATATTGGAGTGTTTTGCTCTGTGCTGACAATATCCACACTGTTCTCACAGAAACTGGATGTGTCTTAGTTTTCTGCAAAAAACGACGTTTGCTGTGAAAGTCAGGCATCTGCAGTTCAGTGCTCTCTTGCGCTCTCTCTCTCTGTCAGACACACACACACACACACACACACACACACACACACACACACACTCATAC